GAGCGGGCTGATCTCACAGTCCTTCCTCTGTTCGAACAAATCGGGTAATAGCAGGAGCGCAGCCTTAGTACACGCTAAGAGTTCAGACACCAAGTAACAGGTCTGCTTATTTCTTGTGAAAAGAAATAAACGGTGACTGTTAAAGCCCTGCCCAGGGATCAGGTCTCCTGGTAACACGGGATGGACATGGCAAGCATGTCAACGGGACCAAAATGTGCATGCACCTCTTTGAGTGAGTGCTGAGAAGGGCTGGAGCACGCCAGGGGGGTCTACGCGCTAGTTTTACACGACGGATTAAGACGCACTCGCTCCCAAGGTCTGAGGTGTGTGCCCATGACTTTTCCTCGTGCTGAAAAATTTGGGTACAAGCGAAAATTAGACTTGAGACGCTACCTCTGCAAATGCAGCAAACCATCTGTCTGCTCTGGGAGAGCCGCTTCCCAACAGGATTCAGTTACAATAGCAGGGCCATTTTTCCTGCTTGCACAAATGCTCTGTAGATCACTGTTTATTTTTGTGAGCACACAGAGAACTGTCCCGCAGCATTTGCAACGTATCTCACTTTAGCTGTTAATAAACAAACAGCTAAAAAGTAATGGCCTGCCTTTAGAGGCATCAATTCAGCAAAACACTTCGGTTTGTGCCTGAGTTTATGCCCAAGTAATTGACTTTAGTGACATCTGCTCTTAGGGAGTTAGGTATGTGCTCAAGTCTTTTCCTGAATTGGAGCCAAAAACTCCTAACAGAGATAATCCTGCTAGCCTTTTCATTAATAACAAACTGGAGCAATCCTCATTAACACCAGCTGTTTTGCAGTGGCCAGGCACTGTGTAAATGGTGGTGAAGCTCTGGGTGTGGGTTGTTCTGCTCCCCAAGTTCAGCCGGTTTGTGCAACAACCCCTCGTAGAAAGCTTTTGGGGAATGTTGGTTGTTTTTTTTTTTTTTCTGTGTCAGCTTACAGTGGTTCATATCATAAATTTGGCTTTGAGATTGAAGCCCTGAATCTTGCAAACAAAAAGCAAACACAACAGCCGTTGCCAACTCCACACACACAGCCCAGGGCCACCCATTCCCCAGCGGGGTTCTCAGTGCTGAAGAGTTGTCAGCAAGGGCTGGGACAAACCCACCCCTGAACTATGAAACATCATAATATAGCAGAAGGATAAAAAAAAAAGAAAAATCAATCACCTGCTTTTCTAGCAGCCAGAGGGTATCTTCAGACACTTTGTTCTTGAACTTCTTGATCTGGTTGACACTTTTGCTTCGCACCTTTCTCAGGGCCTCTTTGGACTTGTTGGTGGACTGCTTGGCAAGCTTGGCCAGGTTCTCCCTGTGCTCTCTCGTCACCCTAGCAGCGAGGGAAAAGAAAAAACACCGAAAGGAAAAGCAACGTCATGTGTAGCACAGCCAGATGCATTTCTGCGGTGGACTTTGGGTAAAGGCAGTGACCATCTCTGCTGCGGGACCTCTCTGACCGGCCCACGCAGCGCTGCCATGCAGCACCCAGCCGGGCTGTGCGGGGACACCCGAAAGCCGCCCGTGTTACGACAGAGCTCGCTCTGCGCGGAGGCCCTGCGTCGCAAGGGACTTACAGCTCGGGGCAGGTTTTGGTCCTGCTTTGGTCCACCTGAGCGAGTCAGCCACCCTGCGCAGCACCACCAGGGCAGCGCAGCCCTGAGGTCTGCAGCCTGGAACGGAAAGTTCCCAGCACAGCCCTCAGCTGAGGGACTTTGAACCTTACTTGTTTTACAGTTGTCACTGCAGTGCCTGAAAGTCATGCTGAAACGTTCAGACTTTCCTTTTCTCTGCTGCCAAAGCAGCTGTTGGAAAGAGGGAAAAGCCAGCTCCAGACCTGAGAGATGGAGCTGCAAACTGTAATCCTGCAAAGCCACGAGGAAACCTCCATCCCCTGCTGAAACTCGGTGTCATCTCCCTGAAACTGAAGAGCCTGAATTATGTATCTGGAAGCTACAGAGCTTATGTTTCACCCGACCTTATGCCAGCTCATCATGATCACGCTGTCCCAGCAACACGAGGTGAGTGCCTGGTTTGACAAGGGGATGATGCTAGACCTGGCTAGCCACAGGTAACTCGGCCCAGGAGAACTTCAGCTCCACCTTCCCCTCAACACGGGGCCAGTTACTGTGGTGCCACAAGAAAATCCTCAACTTCCCACCCCAGATTCAAAACCGCAGGCGATGAGGGAGCCCAGCCACCTCAATGAGGCACAGGAATGGCTGATGTGTCACCTCCGCTCTGGTCATGCTCCAGCACCTACAGCTGATCGCTGTCAACATCAACTGCTAGTGCTTAACAATAATATTTTAATTATTTTCATGGCTATTGAAGTTTCCAGACCGCCTCGAGAATGAAACACCCCAGTGCGCTCACTGAGACTCGCTAGCAAGCGAGCGCCCGTCTGCTCGTCAAGATATTGGAAAATAAACATTTCACAGCAGTATTTAGAAATTGGCTGCAACAGCCTTGGTCACCCAAACGCTGAGGCCGAGACTCTTCCTGCGGAGAGGTCGGGAAATGCAGGGTGAGGGCTTTGCTGCCGGGCGGGTGGGCGTTACAGGGGGCTGTCGGGGCACTGCTGGACCCCCAGCCCACCCCGAGCTTGTCCTCAGCTCTGCAAGCCACACGTGTGCTGATGCCGTCCCTCGGCAGCCGATGTCTGCGGAGGCACTGCCCTCTCGCCGGTTATCGTTACTCCACGGCGCAGGAGGGAGTAGGCTTCTCAGAACAGATCAGTAATGACAGGAATTTGGGATCACCAGACAAGCTGGCCCACCTAGCCA